TAATATTATATAATTTATAATCAAATTTAATTTGATTTTTCCATCTTATACCCTCCACCCAGCTACGTTAACAAGAAGCGACGCTTTGCCATGCTGGACACACTCATATGTGCAGAGAAGGACGGATTGATCGATCATGCGGGCATTTGCGAGGAGGTTAACACACTTATGTTCGGCGGCTTTGATCCCTCGTCTATCACCTTGATGTTTACCATTTTTAATTTATCCATGTACGAAGATATGCAGGAGCTATGCTATCAAGAGATTTTGGAACATATACATGATCCCAACAATTTGGACATTAATCAGTTGTCAAATCTTAAGTATTTGGAGCGCTTCATAAAGGAAACACTACGAATATTCCCACCTGTCCCTATTATAGGTCGCCAGACCTCAGAAGAAACTGTACTGCCAAATGGGCTTATTCTGCCTACCGGATCACAGATCATTATGCACGTCTTTGATCTGCATCGTAATCCCAAGTACTGGGATCAACCGGATGTTTTTGATCCTGATCGTTTTCTACCACAGAACAGTGTAAAGCGACATGCATATGCATATATACCATTTAGTATGGGTCTGCGTAATTGTCTAGGTAAGTAATCTTTCAACATTAATAGATATTCATTCTTAAAATTTCTTTGAATTTCGCCCTTAGCTCAACAATACTTTATGATTCTAATAAAAACGCTGCTGTGCTTTATTTTGAAAAAATTCAAGATTTTGCCAGTCACCAATTCGAAAGATCTTGTCTTTCATATGGGCCTAACTCTTCGCGTTGAAAATAATATTAAAGTGAAATTTGTCTTGCGAAATAAATAATAAACAAGTCAACTGAAATATAGATATTTTGTTTTTACGTTATTTACACTAAAAATACCGCCAAATGAAAGATACTAAAACAGTATTTAAACAGTGCAGAAAGAAGAAAGTTGGCAGTTTTGTAGCCATAAACACGTTGGCAGCACCAGACACCAATGAGCGTGCGCAGAGCGCGTAAAACAAAACTGAAAAAACAGAGAAGCCGAGAAGACATCGCKCACWGAACGGTGTTTTTACAATTACTACGATAAAATAAATGTAGCCATTGATATCACTGCGCAATTTAGAGTGTTAATCAATGCAAAGAACGTGCGCTATAGAGAGCTTAATTCAATTTAAGCCAAACTGCTGCTGCTGCTATTGCAAACATAAACAAATACAAAATTGCCGTGGATATCAAAGCTGCCAAAATAGCATCAAAAAGGAAAATGATAAAACGAGAAATGCAGCGATATTATGCAGAACGTGAGACAACTGGACCGGAGTTCGGTAAGAGTTCTTTTTTTTTATTATTTGGTAACTACAATACACAATTGAAAACAGCAGAATCAACCCCCCAGCGGTATCACGCACACACTACAGTCTTCCCCTAAACAGAGAAGACGGCCTAAGGGTTGGTTCTGCTGCTGTTGTTGTTGTTATTGTTGTTGCTATTTGAGAAGAACGTAGAAAGCGAAGTGTACTGCGACACAGATTTTAACGATTTTTCCCAAAAAAACGCACACACACAGATGATCGCCTTATAAAATTGGTTCGCGCCAATCCTGCCATTTACGATGTGAGCCATCCGCATTACCGCCGAAATCCCGTCAGAGTGGACATATGGGATCGTATAGCTAACGAACTGGGCGCTTCATGTAAGTAAAACTAATTAAATTACATCGATTTCTGATTTCAGAGTTTACAATATTAAGAGAGAACAAATTGAGAAATGCCTTTCTAATTTTTTTTTATATTGTAAAATGAGAATACCCCCTTTTTTTTTGCCTTGTCTACTTCCCTATTTTAAAATCCAAATATATCTATTGTATTTAATCCACCCCATTTCTGTACTCAAACAGCACGATTTCTACAAACGAAATGGAAGAACATACGCTACAATTATCTGCAAGAGATTAAGGCTCTGGAGACAGGTCAGGTAAATCCGAATGTGCGCAAGCGGCGCTTCACAGAGGATCTATCATTTTTACAAAACACAGCACAAACGTACAATGTGAGAAAGGCGCAGGCCTACATAACCCAGACCAATAATAATACAAATAATAATAATAATGGTGGTGGRAGCAGCGACAACGACAACGACAGCAACAGTTTTCTCTACCCAGATCCGGAGCATTTGCGAGTTGATCTAACGGAGAACTATGATATCATTGAGCTGGACGATGATAACAGCGAAGATGGCTCGACACATGCGGGTGGTCACAGTGATAACGAGATCGTGCCTGAGCTCATGGTCATGGAGCCCAAGCCCGACGTCAACTTGCAGGAGTCGATGTCTGTCAATGGCAACGGCAGCACCGACAACCACAACGATACGGAAGCCAACTCGCCGGCCTCCTCGCCGCTGCTCATGCCCATGGTGATAATGGGCAATGCCGATGAGACGTCCCAACAGGACCTTAAGTCCCATGGTCATACTGAAGACATGAAGCCGCAATACCACAATCAAAACGTCAAGACCGAACCTCAATACAGACAAAATAGCGCGCTGTCCAATGGTGAGGTGACCATAGAACCTATATATAAGGCAGCGCTCACGCGACGCAGTGCACCCGGCAAGGACACTATGGCAAATGCGGCAAAGCGGAAAGCCCTAGCTGCTCCTGTACCCCGAATAGCGGCTATCAATGATCCCATTGAGCTCTACTGCCTATCGCTGGTGGACACGCTACGCAGCATGCCCAGATCGGAGCGCGAACGAGTCAAGTTCGAATTTGCTAACATTCTAAAGGACGCTAAGTACAAGGACGAGGCCTAATCTTAATTACAAATCTGTTTCTCTGGGTATTTACGCATACGAACAATTCTAAGTCACATTAAATGTATTATTTTTACATAATATGCAGATTATATAGAGTTTTCTAAGACGCTAATTAGAATAAGTTTTCTATTTAATTTAGATTTTTTTATTAAAACGATGTTGTATGTTTTCATATCTATTCAGTTGTATCAACAAAACAAAATAAATTATACATACACATTCTAAAATTATTAACAAACAAAATTCTTTTATTTTYGACCTTRATAAAGATCGCTTCAGGCTGACCTTTAARTGGATCGGAATCTCTTAAYAGTTTTTGTCTTAAAGATTCCAGTTTCCCTTACTCCCATCGCCCAGTCAAGTTAGAGAGTTAAAAATAAGAATAAAACAAATTGTTTTAGTTTTGTTTGCAGCTCAAACGCTTTCAAAATTTATTTGTATTTGTATTACGCATAAGTAGTATTTTTAAGGTATAGTGTATATGTTATGATCGAAACGTTTTAGATACTAATGTTTTTGTATACACTGTCTATTAACTATGTTTTTT